GGCACTAATCGGGCTCCGTAATAATCAGCGTTGTGCGTGAAAGCTGCGCTCCATCGAACCCGTGCGCCACGTGCACCAGAAAATTGCGGCAGATCTAGATTTGCCAGTTCCATTGAAAATTCCAGTGCGAAATAAATATTCTAAATTCTTTGCAAATTATAAACGTATAGCGAGTCATGAAAGAAAGAGGAATGTTTGCACTCGTAGATTTTCGCGCCTCTAAAATTATCGTGCATTAAGAATTGAAAAATATTCAATAATTTGACCAATCATAGAAAAGCAATCCTAAATATCTCTGATCCTATTGGATGAAGCCAGGTGATTGACATGTTATTGTCACGTGATCATTGCTCAGTATATAAGTCAGGAGCACGTTTTATAGACCACATTATTTTGCAGAATAGTTTGGTAAGTGTCTTTTGTCCGTTTTTGATTTTTCTTGTTTTGTTGAGCTTTATTGGGTTTACTAGAAATTTAGAAAGTACAAAAATATCTAAAATCCACTATTTGCAAAGAGCTTTTAAACTTCTATTTGCTTAACAAATTGCATGTTCGCAATTCATTTTGTAGCGTTTCGATTTTCTCTCAGTAAAGAATTTTTTTACACTGTTCATTCATATCCAAAACCAATCTTCTAGCTATAGAAAGCTTTTACAGTAAAAGCTAAGCCTTCATCGACAAAAACTGCTTAGAATATAGACGTTTAGCATTTTGGAATAAAGAACGAAGGCATCTTGGAGACGACTTTTCAAAGTGTACAATACTTTTTTTGTTCTTCGGATTATGAAAGAATCGCATGTTGGAATGACTTWGCGCGCGCTTCAAAATGACTTTTCTATGAATTTATGGTTATTATTGGTACAATAAAGGAATTATACCACGTTTTCTTTCACGATGTTACCTTTATGGAATACTAATGATTCTTGCCGAATAAAGAACCGAGGCCTTCGTTATGGACCAAAGCGTTATCCTGTTCTAGTTGTAGAAATATAGCAAAATAATTTGGGTAACCCCTTTTTTTCTTGGCGAACAATGTGGAAAAAATTTAAGTAATAAAGTATTTTAGTAAATAAATATTCATTCCTAACGATACTTTTTAATTTCTTTTCCAGGCAAACAGACGACAAGAACGGCTACAGCAAGCGAGAGGACCAATTTTTGAGTATTGATTTCTTGTTTTGCAACACAACGAATCTTTAAACAAGCTCCAAAATTGTCCAAAAAAACTTTATTTTACTACTCTTTAATTTCGGTTTCGACTAATTCATTTTCTTCCTGCTTGTTTAAGAGATCTTGTGACTTTTTTCAGGGAAACGGAACGGTTCCTAAATCAAATATGGAACACGATTAAAAGAACAAAATTTCTTAGTTTTTGGTTTGCGACTTTAAAAAAACCTTGAAATATTCACTTTCTTTTGGCATCGAGATAAGTCAGAAACCAAAAGCTACCATTTCAATTTAACCTAAGGTTAGGATTAGAACTAAGAGGGCTCCAGAAATATCAAGTGTGGAGCCCAGGGAAAAGCACATTAGAAGCTACCAATAAAACTATAGGTGGGGATTTTAGCGTTTTTGACTGGTCAATCGGCCAGGGTCAAATGAACCAATTAGGATAGATTTTCACTGAATATTAGGACCACGAGTTGGTGATGTCCAAAGGAAAACCGAGTACGCTGGATCTGGAACGTCTTCAACTACAGCTCGTGTAGAGCATAAACTGTGTTGTAGTCCTTGATTTAGAGTAGGTGGAGTTCTGTCATTGTATTGTGCGGTTGTGGTCAGTTAAGCTAGATTTTGTTATCTCTACTACGCCCAGGTTAAGTTTCGTTCTGACCACACTGCTCGGTCTCACAGTCAGGGTTTGAAAAATTTAAATAAAATTTAAACGGTAATGCAAAACGAGTATATTCTTTCAAATTTAAATGTCTCAAAAACAATTATACCTCTTTATGGTCTATTTGATCCATTCTTGATTGTTGCTTTGAAATTCAACATCCGATAGTTGCACTGAGTTTTTCCATAATAAAACAAGCAATTAAACATTATCCATTTATTTCAAATTATTGAACATTTTCAAAATTCATATTTTCAAATTTTAATTCTCATTCCCATTTTTCTCATTCATTCAGTTTTGGCTTATATTTTCCTTCAAACCCTGACTACACGTGTGAGATCTCAATGACGGTTGTCCAAGACTAACGCTAAATGTCATGAGAGGAAAGATATCGATGGAAATCATCAATCATTTTAACATTGATGTTTTCTATTACATCCATGGCATTTAAAAACCTTGCTTTGCAGATCTTCCAAGAACAACCAAACTTGGTTGCAGCAAGACTTCGCTTCAATCCACGATAGTTTTTTTTTTTATAATCATTGGTAGCTTTAAGACCTAGATCAGTAGACATAGTATGCGCAAAGAAGTATCGAGGGTTAGGGATGTGGACAGAAGATTTGCTGTCCCCGTCCCCACTCCCCTCGATGCATTTTTACGCTGCTATTTTATATGCAATATATATTATTGTATATACTTTTTAAATGCATGTCAATTGCGCAGTTACTGCTGCAATTGAATTATCAGTCATCTCAATATTTTGATTTATTTTTAAGAATTATGAATCAAAACGCTGAGTCATAACCTTAAAAACTGCGCACTTTTTCAATAAAAAGTGCAAAGTCTGTCATGAATTTATTTTTTTTCGTCAATATGTTTTGGATATAAGTTTGATTTCGGCGGCCCGAATATTTGGTTTCCATACTTAAAAACATAAATTCGCAGATTACCGATAAGGTGTTCATACTTACATAGGCTCGTAGATCATAATTACCGATTATTAGGTTTTTATACTTACAATTATAGGCTCATAGATTACTTATTGTAAAGTATTCATACTAGTACGAACAGAGGCTGATACGATAGATTGCTGATTATTAAGAATTCATACTAACATAGGCTCATAGATTACCTTGTAAGGTTTTTTGAATTGAGGGAGACTTACTGAATAAGATTTAAAAGGGATTGTTACTGAAGACTTCTAATTTATTGAGCGAGTGAGTGGTCGTTGAGGTGTGTCGGGGATTTATATCTTGTTTGAAACATGTTGTAAACACTACTTGTATACTATTATAACCTGTATTAATTGTAATAATTTGAAGTTGAAATAAAGATATAGTCATAAGTACTAATATTAACGACAGTGTTTTCTATTTTTATTTATTTCCTTAAAACTTTTAGCATTTGTCCGAATTACCAACTTATGGGGTAGAATTTCGAAAGTTATTGGGTCTAGGGATATTCCATCTTCGATAGATGTAAGTATGGTAGGTTCTGACCTACTTGCAAAGAACTGGTGGCACAGTTCGCTTACTTCTATTGATTTTGATGGAATATCCTCCCCTTGGTATATTCCGGAGCTGACTGGAGTAAGTATTGGTAGGGTCTGCCCTACTTGTAAAGAGCTGCTGACACAGCTCGCTTAGTTCGGTTAAGTCTCTGAAATATGCCATCCCTTGGGGAAATTCTAACAACGATTTTCATTTCAGCTATGCTAACCATTATTATCTCATTTTCAGATATGTACTAACGATTACTTCTGATTTTCAGCTCCCCTTATAAATTAGATATTATTTAAGTATAGATAACAATTTAAAAATAAAATTAGTTTACACTTCTTTACTTGCGCAAAAAAGAGCTTCTAGTGTAGCAGTGTAGACTAAATCTTAACGATTTCATTTACTAATTTCTTTTTCCTTTTCTTTTTCAGAAAACCTTTTAAGTATCTCGAGTTGCCAGCCGATTTTCATCTCGCTAACGATTCCACCTTTCCCGAATTCGCTTGAGAGACCATGAAACACTATGGCTCCAAGACAAAGTTGAACTTGATAAAATACAGTAAATGTAAGAACGCAACAAGTCAAACCTCGACTTGAAGCTATTGTTTCGCGTACTCAAATAAATTCGGGAAAGTTCTATTCTCTTCCAGCATTCATTCATGTTAAAAAAATAGTACATGATTTTTTAAATGCGTTTTTTTAAATTCATTTCTCTCTCTGATATATTCAGCAGGTGATGACACACCGTGCAAATACCACTACCGTTCTGTCATTAACGACCATTGTTTGGCATGCTGTTGAATTTATGAATTATCAGTGAAGTATACGGGGAATTTTCTTAATTATTGTTTTTGTGTTTTAATTACTAATTTCTTTCTTTTCCTTTTCTTTTCTTCCCTTTTTCCAGTTTTGTTCCCCCTGAATTTGTAGACTGGGATGACCTAGCATGAGACGATTTCTCACACCAGGATTAGCGATGCCATGTCCAAAGTAAGCCTACAGCGCATGCCTGGGAAACATTGTTCCATCCAATGAATCCTTAAGAAACTTTGATATTTGTACTGTGTGCATTTGCTTTCAATGATATCGATTGTTATACTAAAAAGTTAAAAAATTGTTTTCTTTTTCATCTTCCAGGTTAGATTGTCTGACGGTCTACTTCGCCAGATGTGCTGCTCTGCATGCGTTTCGTTAGACTTCAAAATTTATTTTAAATAACAGAAAATTAAAATTTTAGTAGAGTCCAGCAAGATATCACCTACCTTATAGATATATTATGACTTTAATACTTTTATTCGCTATCGCTACCGTTTTGAACTGTAGGAGACAACCAAAATGTAAATTATACTTGGTGATATAGTTGCTGGATTTTACAAATATACTTAAGTATAGTAAAGTAATCGTTGTTAATATTATATAACAGGATCTCCTGATTAAGTTACTAAGTTATTGTAAAAGTTAAAGATCTAATAAAAATCAATGTAAAAATTGCTTTGTACTTATTTTTACAACTTGTATACAGCTATTTCAGAAAAGGTTGAATACTGCATACTGAATCGTGCATTTCAAGACCGAAGTGTATTGTGGGTCATAGCGACATTGTCTAAAGTAGGGTTAATAATTATTTATTCTATTTTTAGAGTACAAACACTAAGTGTGTAACATAAATACCACTAAGTACTGCTAAATAATGCTAATCCTGTTTTGTTTAATTAACACTATCTACCACTAAATAGTGCAAAGTACCTGTTGCACACTTTTAGTGTTTGTACTCTAGTGTATTCCATCTAAAACAATATACTAACTGCATGTAGAGTTAATTGCTGTATATTTGCTACTTATTTCAAATTAACGAGACCCACAATGCCCTTTGGTATTGAAAAGCACTAGAGTACAAACACTATAAGTGTGCAACACAAATACCACTAAATACTGCTAAATAATGCTAATCCTATTTTCTATTGTTTAATTAGCACTCTTTACAACTAAATAGTGCAAAGTGTTGCACACTTTTAGTGTTTGTACTCTATTCAGTATGCAGTAATCAGTATTCAACATTTATGAAATAGCTGTAAATTCTAGAGTGATTTTACTTTGCTCATGAAACAAGTTGTATAGTTAGTGACTAACAGTCAAATTAAAACAAAAGAAAACAGTGGAATTTCGGCCTACTACTATGCATTAGGTTGTCTATTCTTTCAGGGGCGAAGTAGAGTGAAGTCATTGAAACCCGTGAAATAGTTATTAGACTAACACACATTAGTAGACCTTAATTCCATCGTTTTCTTTTGTGTCTGTTTGACTATTACACGTTGACTAATAATTTTTATTTCACGGGTTAAATGCCTTCATTCTAAAAGTACTCTAAACCCACGAAAATCTAATAGTCATTGTCTAAAAGTCAAATGAGAATAAAAAAAACAACAATGGAATAAGCGATTACTAATTAGCAATTAATTATCGAGACCGAATGAAATCATAGTCCATGATAGTGATAGGATTGATTGATTTTGTCAAATCCAACTAGACGGTCAAATATAGATGCAAACACGTTTTGAGTGAAAGGTAAATTGAATCTTTTGGTATTCAAAGCCGTCACTTTTTGCCACTATTAGGCTATAACTTTAGCCTATTAGTAGCTCATCCAATCAGATTGCAGCATTGTTGATAGACCAAGAATTCATTTGACTAAATAGTGTTTCTATTGTCAAATTAGTGCTATTTAGTACTAATCAGTGCAGAATAATGTATAATRATAATCTAGTATGTGAAAATTGGCACTTATAAAAAAGCAACCCGCGAGAGGGATTCTGGAAGGTGTGTAGGTATAATAAAACCTCATCATACTGGAGCCCTATTTTTTAGACTACCTTGAAACCCCACCCCAACTCGTTTAGTGTAAGTAGAGCACGCTTGACGTAAGTCAAGAGGACTGGGTGCCATTCCCGGACGGGTTTGATTGGTTGAAAGGTAGTACCTAGGAGGGTATTTGACAGTGTCTGATTTTTACCACAGAGGGGGTGGGATGGAAAATCTGGGAAGTATAAAGGTTTTTTAATATGATAAGTGAGTAAAGAAAATACCTAATTTTGAAACTAAAGCCACGAGGGCCAGTATTTGACCATAAAGGTCCATAAAATAATCCAGAAAAGAACATATTGAATAGGCCTTTGATTAGTGCAAAGCTCGCATCGATTACAAGATACTTCTGTTTTCAAAGCACTTAACAATCTGGCTCCGGAATATATATCTGGACTATTTAAACGCTACAATCTTCCACGCTAATTAAGATCTGAACATCAAAATCTATTAATTGCTCCGCCTAAAACAGTCAGTAAGACATACGGCGACAGATCTTTCTTCGCCGTCGCCCCCAGACTCTGGAATACAACCGAGCGAGCCATCGGAGACTCCAACTCCCCTGTTTCCTTTAAATCCAATGTTAAAACGTATTTATTTCGTAAATATTATAATTTATAATTAAATTAATCATATTTATTTATTTATCTTCATCAGAGACAATATTTTTTGTACCATTGTACATTTTGTAACCTGTATTTTATATATTTAAATTCTATATATTTCATTTCTTAATAGGATATGTGAAATATTGAAACTTTGTGAAATACTCTATTTAACAAATTGACATCAGATTTTTATGTGTCTGTCCTCTTATTGACAATAAATTGCGTCATCACATTGTCAAAGTAGTGTGGATCCACATACTACTTTGACAATGTGATGGCGAAATTTATTGTCAATAAGAGGACAGACACATAAAAATCTGATGTCCGTTTGTTTTTTACAATAACAAAAACGATAAAAACTTCTCATTTTTAGCGATCAAAACAACCAACGAAAAGAGCGCACGCTCGTTGACGTCAGTTTTATCTGTCTGTCCTCTTATTGATGATAAAAAAAAACCCAATCAGCGCGCGAGAAATTTGTAAGTTATCGTAAAAAAATTATTATTATTATCATTGTTATTCATTTTTTAGGATTTTTGAATGAACACCTAACTAACTTTATTTCCAGAAAATAATCTATAACTAAACAAGTGTAGAGGCCTCTTTACACCGTGCAATTAAAGTTGTATAATGCAATTTTCGACTGAAGATCTTTTTCCTCCTTTAACAAGGAAAACAACCACACTTCTTTTTTTTAGTCTTTTCGTCCAAGTACTGGTTTTTGGCAAAGTTGATAAACACCTAAAATGCAACAAAAGGAACAAGCTTCATCACAGGAAGAATACTCAAAATATAATAGCAAATTATCCAACCTTGCGTCACAGTCTACTAAAGGCCGGTTTAGACGGTTTTCGCCTACAACTATCGTATACAACACGCTCGYGTCTGTCGTAGGCGAGTTGTAGRCTTGATTTACACGCTACGACTCGAGTTGTAGGATGGCGCGAGCGTGTTGTATACGATAGTTGTAGGTGAATATCGTACCGTCTAAACCGGCCTTAAGCAATATATTTATGAGATAGCAAATCAGATCTAGGAAGGACATGTGTGGGCTTATTTAATATCCTGGCTCTAGTTTTTCAAGGCGCATACAGCCCCCAGCTCCCCCCAAATATTTATAGTCGAAGTCGACTTTTCTTTTGAATATACGTCCCACCACTTTAGAGGTTGCGGTCATTCAAGGGAGCACGGCAGACATACGTTTGTTGATTGGTCTTCCTGTGGTACATAATTAAATTGATTGGTCTTCCTGTAGTATGGACGCGCATGCGGTTTCTTAAATGTCGCGCGGTCTCATTAGTAAACAAATATGGCGGTTTATATTTACTTGAGCCCACGCTATTTTTCGCGGATCACCGTATTCGTCAACATACGTCATTACCACAGGAAGACCAATAAAAAACATTATGTCTGCCGTGCTCCCTTGGGTCATTGAGCTAAAAACATACTGGGTTCATGTGTCATGAAGTCTCCTTCGCAGGCGTCATACGTTTCGGTCCCAGATCCTCACAGGGACCAAAATAAATTTGATTTTTATCCCTTATTGAAAACGCTCTTCAGAGAGGAGACATTTGAAAACGGTAAACCTTTTTGAGCTAACAATCACGACTGTCGTATATACTATATTTCTAATGATGTACATGTTATGGTGTAGAAGGATTTATTATGTAGTTAGGGTAGTACGCCCGCGCTGATTGGTCGAAAACTGTGCTTTATCAGTGAACGGAGCACAATGCTGATGTGCTGCTAGATTCTGCCGACAAAAATTAGTAGCTATATAATAAAGCGAATGTTTACGCCACTTCCTGCGTGCTTTATTAGTAAACGGAGCACGGAAAAACTGTTTTATTTGTTAAATAGAGTACGACTGACGTACCTGCTCAAGAGTGGTTTGGCTAACACTGTAGTCAATAATGTTGAGACTTTCTCGATTTCTTTCAAGTTGACCAAATATTTGTGACCATGTCAGGTCTTCGTTAATGATTTGGTACGTCAACATGCCCTTCAAGTGAAATAAACAAATGAGTCAAATAAATATGCTGCATTTTATACTAATGTTGGATGTTATCAAAGTCTTTTGATAGGATCATATAATGGCTAAAGTACATAGCCCTCCGATAAACCCTTTTACGAAATACAACAAGCAGTGGTCAAGATATAGTCGTGCTACGGAACTATGATTTTCCATATTGTTACATTAGCCGCGGGCTATGGCATGAGATACCCTTTGGTAGCAGAGCATTTGCAAAAATAAAAAATAAAAAATAGAAGATTGATCAAGGATTTCAGGATATCTTCAATGCTTCAGAAGTTAAAAGGCTTACAGCATGAGAATCTGTTAGGACAGCTCCCGGGAATGATTCATCGATAAAGGCTTTGACTCGTTGAATATCTTCTGCGAGGTTCCCATTATCAGGGCCTTGCACCACGGGCTGGAAAGGCGTCACTGGTGATGATCGAAATTTGACATCAGCATTAGCTTGGAGACTTTGATAAGCACCTGATAAAGATAAAATAGAATAAGATMTAAATTACCAGCTAAACATCTGCTTTCATGAATCAGATGGACAGTCACTCAAAGTTCTAAATCAAAGGGGCGAGCGCGCGCGCTGTTTTGGCGCGAAAAGTTCCCGCCAAACTCGCAGAAACATAACCAACAAAACAAAATGTCTAGAAAGGACCATTAAGTTGAGAATGGTTGTTTTGTTATCCCATCATAGAAAAATAAAAAACTAATCGAAGTTTTCGATTTGTCTTGTCAAAAACTGATAGAAACATGAATTTTCCTCTGAAGGTGAAAACATACAATTGACTAGTTAGCGTCGGTAAAACATGTCGACTGAATTTACATGTGATTCTCTTCCTGTTGAACTTTACGGACCTAAATAAGGTGCAGAACGGCAACGACGACGACGACAACGGCAAGCATACGGTATCACTAATTGCGATATTCAATAGACACTCGTTGGAATGTACGAAACACTGCAAGTCACCGTCTTATGCTGAAAGTAAAACGTGAAATGTCCTTGTTTTACGTAGTATAAAGAGAACGGCTAGGCCAAAAGCTCATCTTTTCTAATTTTTATATGAAGTAAAGCGCTCTTAAAAGACGTCATTTCACTTCAAAACGGGGGTGCTTATAGGAGTAAAACACTAGACAGACATGAAATAATAGTACAATAGAAGGTTTAAGCTTCTTAATTTCGCCAACGTTGTCGCCCGCGTTGCCGTCCTGCAGCTAGTCCAGACGCTGGCCCCTTCTTTGACCGCTTTGCTTTTATCCTGCAGCTAAGGTCCCTAGTGATCCATTCATCAATAGCCGAAATAATTTTGTAATGTAAGTACCTGCATTGCTTGGTCCGTGTTCATCATCAGGAAGATTCCCAGCTGCCATAGGATTGATAAATGTTGTTGCAGTAGCCTGTTGAACACCTTCATGCTCTGCTGCTATTGTCTCGACTGTCCTTTGACAGTTTGACTGTCCTTTGATTTTAACCATCAGAGAGTAACCAGAACTGAATCTAATGGAGACAATATGATTGGAATTTTTTTAGCTTTTTTGGTAAGTGACCTCCCATATATGAAGTTTTAGTACAAAGAGAGGTACCTGTTCTTAAGATGTTGAGGGCTTCCAATACACTTGAACTGACCATTGACCATGATGGCCAGACGAGTACAAAGAGCTTCACATTCCTCCATGCTAACAAAACAAAATGAATATTGAGCTACTGAGGACTTTGTTCCGTGCTTTTTAAAGCTTGTCTAATAACTACAACATACCTGTGTGACGTGAGTACAATTGAGCGGCCGCCCTTCATAACGCTGGTCAAAGAATCCCACAGGAAACGACGAGCAACAGGATCCATACCACTCGTAGGCTCATCCTAAATACAGAGGTTCGTATAGATATTACATATGATAAAGTAAATCTAAAGGCTGATGTATATGACATCTAAAGCTCCAGTCAGCAAAGTTAGTTTAAAGAGGTGCGGCAAGAGGTGATGGAAGCTAAAGCCCCATAAATTAGAGATAATTGAACAAGTATGCAAGGTCACTACTACAAACCTCAGGCTCAAAATTCCGCGGACAGTTAACCTAGCCACGTGCATTTGCTAATAACACTGACTTTCCAACAAGATATTTATATGTTTAACTATAAACTTACCAGGAATACAATGGGGGGATTGCCAACTAACGCTATGGCGGTGCTGAGTTTGCGTTTATTGCCACCACTACGACACAGATAGGTCAGTATCATTGTTATTGTTATACTAATGTTTTAGAAATACAAAGACAAAAATAAAAGAAGCAGAAAGGTAGGAAGGTTGGTCAGGTATGCAGAACGAAAGGTAGCAAGGCAAGAAAAAAGGAAAGAATGATGGAAGGATCTAGGATGGAGGTATGGATGGTAGGATGATAGGCGGGCAGGAAGGAAGGAAGGAAGGAAAGCTGAAGGTAGGTAGCTACGCAGGCGAATGGTCCTCCGCGGGCTTTAGATAGCTTGGCCGTAATGTTTTCCCATTTCAAAAACAAGAGAAAACAAGAAATTAATTACCTGAAATTTCCGCACAACTTGTCGGCCCATTTGCCAAGGTTTAAATGCTCAATCAAAGAAGAGACGACATCATTGATTTTGTCAGGAGCAACACCTCGTAGTTGCGAGTACATCACCAGCATTTCTCGTCCTGTCATCCTCTCGATCAACGCATCAAACTGAAGTGAATATAATGCTTGTTTAGATTGCTATTTGAATACATGTGACGAGCTGCTATATTTTACTCATCATCATACATCATCATGATACATCATCATCATTTAATACTGAATCCTGAAGTTACACATACCTGCGGACAATATCCTATACGTTGCTGAACCTGGAAATAAAGACGAAACTTTAGATATAGTATAAGCAGGCGAGCACATCAGCCAGCCCCTTTCCTCAGGAGGTCTCAGTTGGTATCTGAGATGAAACTCCGAGCACCCGTTCGCTGAATCAAGGAAGGGGTTAGCAAGCACCATAAAAAGTAAGGAGCTTAGACTGAAACATATAGTAGAAAGGTATGAAGGATAAGGTAAGAAAAAAAGGCAAGAAAAAAATTAAAAGAATTAGATTTGAAAACTGAATTTAGTGGGGGAAAAAGGAAAAAAGTGAAAAAAAAAAAAAAAAAAAGCGGAGGTCGGCCCCCGACTCCCTCTCTGCGGTCCTTGTCAGCGCCAGCTTACTTGTTTGAGATGGGTCTGAATGTTATAACCATCAAGAAAAGCTGTTCCATCAGAGATACTTTGATCACCAGTGAGCATGCTAAATGTGCTTGTTTTACCAGCACCTATATATAAAGTATAAACCAAGTGTTAGCAAGAAGAACATACGAAATCTGAGAGGTTGGAAAGGTGAATGAAATATAGACTAAGGTAATAGCGAAGCAAATCTGAGCAAGAAGAAACCATGTCTTAGGGAAAATTGACCATTTTTCTCCATTTTCACGATCAAGTCTTCCTTGCCAATGCAAAACTTGCAGAGGGAAACTTGGCGCTCTGTAGATACGGCTTTAGATCATTCCCTGTGTTTCTATCTTTATGTTGGTAAACCACATGAAATAAGTTGAGTGGATGAACTCGTAGAGCACGCACTTACCGTTGACTCCAAGAAGACCAAAGCACTCTCCTCTGGGTATTCCAAGATTAAGATGATCAACAGCTGTCCTGTTCGAACCCCTGTAAACCTGGAGCAGAGAAATATATGAATGGTAATAATATGAATATATATAGAGAAAGGACTTGGCGTTCGTCCGTCAGTTTTCCAGTTGTCTGTCTGGTTGCCTGGTTGCCTGTGTTTCTGTCTGTTAGAAGGAATTCCTCTTTATTGTTTTGTTGTTGTCATGCTTTGCTCGTTTCTGTTCTTGAGAAATGGCGGTCAAAGAGCATAACACGAGAAACAAAATATTATATGTAACCACTGACTCATTTTTCGTGATATCCCCACCTATTACTGTACCTTGGTGATATCCTTTAGCACTACAGCTTCTTCGTCAATCTGTTCTTTATTCAACTGAGCAATTCGCATTCTTTCAGCATAAACATCCTCGTCCTGAAATGAAAAGTTGAGTAATAGTGATAAAATTGGGCATGTTTTGAATTAAATAGCGTAGAAAGAAAAAAAAGAATTTTACCAACGTTTCGAGGCCTGTGTCTCTTTCTCAGTGTCAGTAAAATGGTCATTAATATCGGTCAACTGACTTTTATCAGTGTGTAGTTTAGGCCTACTGAGCTGCATATATGAGCATACAGTCAATTCAAAAAATGTTGTCGTCGACCAACTCAAGCCTACGCGACTGGACCGAAAGGAACTCTGGGTAGTAACCATTGAAGCCGAGTTGACTCCATAATTTTACGGACTAGTTATGCCTGGTTTACAGCACGAACCTTCGTAGGCAAGCGGGAAGTGTTGAAGGATACGTTTTTTTAATGCCYTCAYATTTTCGGAATTGTGAACTGAATCATAATTACTTTGTTTTTCTTTCCCTAAACCTGAAGACATGCATTTGATGGATTGTTTCTCGCCATTATTATCTTAATTAACGATTAATTCAGAACGAATATTTGACCGCTTCAGTGGTTTTTACCCATATTCCTTTCGGTCCAGTTGCGTAGGCTTGAGCCGGTCGACGACAACGTTTTTTGAATTGACTGTATATGAGCTAAGCCTTGTTCGATGCATTATCCAACTCTCTTAGTTAAAAAAACTTACCTCTGAAGGCTGTATCTGAGAGTGTCCCGAGTTTGGTGATTCTTTGGGTTTACAACTGATAAAAAAATTGGCCTGCCCGATGAGAAAAATAATCAGGTTACATATGATACGAAACAAACTGGGAAGGGAAAACCAGGGGCGGATCCAGGAATTTTAGAAGGGTGGTGACTATTACAAAGGTTTTACCAGGAATGCAAAAAAAAAAAATGCGATGGCCATAATATTAAGCAAAATAATGAAATATCAGTTAACTGTTAACTACTAATCAAGACTCGCATCTCGGTAAATATTCCCCGATATTCACTGAGCCTGAGGCAAATAATTGAATCTCACCCTCCCTGTAAAAGTCCTGGTTACCGCCCCGAGGTGAGCTATTACCTGAATGAGCAGAGTAATAATTAACAGCACAACTCCTTCTAAAAACATAAAGAGTGCTTCTTGACCAACACCTGGTTTGTCCCAAGACAACGCATGATCTGTGTAAGTACAATCTGCTTTCCATAAGTATGATTCACGACTCCTGTCAAATACATTTTGTTCTATTTTAGTAACAAATTGGCGTGTTCAATGCGTAAGGAGCGCCCGCATAAAGGACAAAGCAAGAAATGACTTCAACACACAACAATGACTAGTACTTACCCAGGGTTAGAGCAGATTTTCTTATTTTGATAGTTTTCATTCATATCGAATATCGACACGGCAAATCTAAAACAAAAAATCCTTACATGTGAAAGAAACATTAACAAAGAAAGATCGATCCTGCCATGATTAATCCGTTTTTATCCGAAAAAAATTTTCTTTATAGCACTTTTAGTAGATTTGTGAGTTACCATAGTAGAAAGTTTTGTTTTCTCACATAGGGGTTTTCTTCCAGTAACACTAACCCTAACCCTATAACCCTAACCCTAACCCTAATCCTAACCAAAGACAACCCTTACCCTAACCCTAACCAAAGACAACCCTAACCCTAACCCTAACCGAAACAGATTAAGTGAAAACCTTGAGATGAGAATGTGCCGTGAATATCCCGTCTCCAAACAGCTCCAAAAGTTCTGATTGAATAATAAGTAAGCTCGCTCGCGGACTGTGATTAGAATACAGTAAAGTAGTCGAGTCCATACCGCGTATGGTGATTCGTCATTGAAGAAACTTCCCGTTCTGACGTACAATGACAATACTTGGTTGCCGTGGTAAAATACGGTACAAACTTGACGTATTATTTCCAACGCACATGTTATCAGCACTACTTAATTAATCTACTGGTCAAGTAACTGAAATTACTTACGTATATGTTGGCACGAGCATAAAAAAGCCGTGCATGACGTGTCTTGCCCCATAACACTCCGAAGATGGGAAGGTACAAGACACTCTGGCGAGTATCAATACCTGTTCAACAAACAGGAAAACAAACCCAACAGTTATTGCGACTAGTCAATACTTAAACTCTTTAGCTTTGTGCTTAATGTTTCGTTTTCCCATCTTTTCAACATTTTACCGCCACCCAATTAGCACAGTTGGTAAGAGCGTCGGAAGGTCGTGGTTCAAGCCTGGGCCAGACCAACACTTAGGGTTTTCAAATAACTAAGGAGAAGGTGCTGCCTTTGTAATTACACCTGCAAATGGTTAGACCTTCAAGTCTTCTCGGAGAAGGACTTAAAACCGTAGGCCCAGTCTGTCTTCACTATATAATCCTGTATAAGGCGGACATAAATGACCCACTGAAGACGCAGGGCCCACTGTAATTGGAAAAAAGCTGTTGTAGTGTCCCTGCCTTCATAGGAAAAGCTAATAAATAAATATATATATATAAACAAAAAAAACAAACAAACAAACAAATCAATCAATCAATCAATCAATTAATCGATTTTAGAATCATGCACATGTCATTCTCATAAGGTTGCGCTTGAGTCCTAAGGGTTTGTTTGATTGCTTCACGAGGTTTTATCTTCAAGTACGTACTTCGCGGTTTTCCTCTCTCCACAAAAGGCAACATGGGAGTTAAAAGTTGTGTGCAATTACTCAACATTAAATGTAGTGCTAGTGAGTGTTGAGCGTGTAATATTTTTAAGCGTTATATTAGTACTTAAACATTTTGCCTCTGACTAGAGAGAATCGGCAAGCAACTTCTCGTATCATTCAGTAAAAATAAAGAAATATTATTGGGCTCTTTCTTGGTTTTAAAGGGCACCTGAGCCAAGAAGACAATTAAAGAAAAAATAGCCGAGAACAATGAGTTTAGAGCTAAACAATACCTGCAATACAATAACCCTAATTCAGAATACAATAAAGCTTGCCACACCAAGAAAGACCCACTTTTTGCAAATACTTACCATTGCAATAATTGAGAGAAGAACCGCAATAACGGCATAAGCAATTAGTGAAGATGTGAATACAAAAGAAACAATGTAAACAAATGGTAGCACTGCGATTCCAAACAGAAGCTGAAAAGAAAAACATGCAAAGGTATTCAAGATTAATGGGATATAGTTGAAGCATTTTTAAAGTGAAAATCTATTAGTGTTTCTCGTTGTGTTGCTGATGTTAGCTCTGTTGTGCTGCTGTTGTTGTCGTTGTTTTTGATGATGTTAATATTGCTGTTATTGTTCTACCGGCCACTGCTGTACTTGATTTGTTTTGCCCACTTTAAATAAAGACTATTATTATTATTATTATTACTGATTATTATTATTATTATTGATTATTATTATTATTGTAATTATTATATTATTATATTAATTATTATTATTATTATTATTGTCAATAAAGTTATTTATTATTTTGTAATTATTATTATCAGCAGTAAACACGTTTGAATGCTAATTAGGTAAGCTAGATAGGGCGTAATTTCGTAACCTACCAGCATGACAGGATTAATAATATATACAATCACTTAAAACCAATTATTAATGTTCTTAAGATGCAGTTTAAATACTTGGAATGTTTGRAATGTCCTTAAGATGTGATTAATTTAAATGTTTTTGCAATGTTCACTGTGCAGCTTAATACCGCTTTCTGCATTCTAAGTAATACATCTTTGTATCTTGCTCCAAAGATATTCTTCATCTCAGGCTCCATCTCTTTAGACCATCCTCCAAGAGCGTCCAAAATGAGGTTCACTTGCAAGATCGTGTATCCTGGGTGTTGTTTTGTGAGCTCAAGTCCAAGTGCTCCATACTTCTTCGTCTCCTCTTTGTCTTTCTTTTCTCGGTTGTTAACCCACGGACAGCTCATTTCCAATTATTATTATTATTATTATTATATTATTATTATGCTGTTGTTGTTGATGTTGGCCCCTTTTGGTAGACATGCAGTAGTCGCAGCAGCAGCATATAAACAGAAATTATTAATATCTAATAATTAATTATTAGTATAGAGAGAAAATACAGAGAATCGAAACCAAATGGAGTAAAAGCCCTGGTCATTAAACTGTTCCTATTAAGCATTTCAAATCAGGAAAATACTACTCGCTTCTTTTTTGTAGCAAGTCGTCTAACTTGCTACATGTCCCTTATGTACATGCGTTTTCCTGGCAATTTCTGGCACTGCGTAGGAACCCGATTCGGATATCGAAGTGAACGTTTGCAATATTAATTACAAATAATATAACAAACCCCGCCAGAGAAGAATAAAAAGAGAGAGCTAGAGAGAATGTCAAACTGGTTGCACATTTTGTTTGGTACGATCATTATAAGTGCACTCCTTCCTGTGGCCCCTTATTAATTGACAACATAGACATCAAATAAACTATGCGAGGTCAGGATATGTATTGCCTCGATCAAAAACTAACCAAGAGAAGAAAAACTGAACCCATCTCGTCTTTGAAGGATTCCACCTGGAAGGCAGCGAAGATGATAAGGAACAACGTTGCTGGAATTAAGTAGTTCAGATAGTCCCACGTGTAGGTACCGAACCAGTAGCAGAATGAATCCACTCCACTGACAAACTGAAGATGTTTAGCCTGTAAAAAAAACACACTATACATAAGAAAATACCGGGAAAGTTTATGGCATACCTTCAGAGCCAAGATCGTGAGGTATATTTCAGATGGTTCACTGCTTTGGGTAAACATTTTGGTAAACTGGTTTGTACTGGGGTAAGGGAACAATTTCGTGTGAAACCTGAGGACGAGCGATCACGGTTTTAGGTGCGAATAAAAAGGTCTACTGGGAACAAATAAATTGTCGTAACAAGCTCTGATCGAGAATAGTGATTCTTCTGAAATAGCCCACGCGCACTACCAACCATCAACATGCACATTGTCCTTTTCCTTTGATCAACTGAGTATCAAGGTTTTTTACAGATCACTTACCTTGGACACTCGTTCCTGAACAATAAACGTTGTGAAGCTGGCTGCCACACATGCCAAGCCCATGGCAAAAAAGATAACTAACAAGTATACACTAGTGCCTCCGTCGCTGTTTTCAGACTGACAAGAAACAAAGATAATGAATAAATAAATTCATTGGTAAATCGGCTCTGAAGGATATGGTCCCTAGAATGATCGAGTCCACATTTACAAGCTTGTGCTCTTCAGCGAGTAACAAAAGTTGCAAAGGGTCGTAAGTAAAGAGATTTTGATAAATCCTTGTGACAGTAAAATACTACTTTTACGAGACATTTTGAAATTTAAGAAATAAAAAAAAAATATTGTCATTCTCAAGTGAATGAGAATTAGAATATCGTAAAACATATGAATCAAGATAATTCCTATAAGGGATAAAAAACACGATGGAACACATAATATATATATTGCAATACATATTAAGCGGAAACTTTGGGGTCTTGCATGCCTGGTGTTCGTTTCACTGTAAATGGTAATAGGAACATTTTGGGTCCCGTGCAACTGCTCATTAAAAAAGGGTGTGTCTCCTTAATAGAGGTTTCACTGTATTAATACTTCGAATGACGTCCCATACCTCTTTCTTCGCAACTTTTGGCAGAGGAAAGTTTGTTGTCTCAATCTCATACTCTTTGCTTGTCAACTTTTTTAAGAAGATGTTGGACATTGCATTCATTGCTTCGGCTATCGTATGGAGACCCTACAATTCAGTAAATTTATATAATGTGAAATATCTGTAACAATTTTAGGGAGCGTAATTGCGCGGAATTTCTAGCATCTGGCTCTGCTTAATTATTTACTTATAAAGATACATTAACAGATTTTACTTGGACAGTAGACATCATTTATCTATCTATTTGTCTTTCTCTGTGCATCTATGAGTACTGAGTTTTTAATCTAACCTAGCTCACAGGAATAATGATCTTTTACCCCAGCGTCAGGTATCCTTTTTAAGGCATCTTTTTCCTCTATTTTTCCCTCTTTATATTATATATATATTTCACATATGTATTATTACACGGCCCAGTTCTCGTTTTCTCTTATCTGTCTCGCAATATATTCCATGCAGACAAACAAAAACATGTTTGATAGTCGTATCTTCGAGGAATAATAATGCTTTCCTCCGTTTTACAGCTAATATATTTCGAGCTGCAACTCATTGCATGTTTATTAGAACAATTTATTTATAACCCTCAAAATATGCATGCAACTTACTTCTTTGCTGTACCACACTGTAGTAGGATTCCAAGAGGGCGTTGTCGTAGGTGTTGCTGTAGTTGTTGTTGTCAGTGAACTGTTACTGGTTGTGGTATTACTGCCTTTGGTCTCAACGAAAACATTTGGTCCATTCACGATATATGTCATGGGACCAATGGTAAAACCAGCTACATGTTTGCGAAAGAAATCATTCGGATTGCTTTTTTCCAACACGTATTCGATGAAAAAGGTCCTTTTGCGGGTCAAGTCAGTTTCTATTATTGTTTTTGTTGTACATGAATAATCCCTGCAAATATTAGATGAGTGATGATATATATATGCAATCGAAAAAATACTCCAGTTGTCACTCACACACTCAACACAGAAGAGATCACCACGAAACACTCAAGATCATCACCAACACACTCAAACCAACACACTCAAGTTCATCGTCAACACATCCAAGATTACCACAACACACTCAAGATCATCACGACGCACTCGAGATTACCACCAACGCACACTCAATATCACCCAGCAGACTCACGATTCTATCACTAAACACACTCAAGATCATCCAACACACTCAAGGTTGTGAAAGAAAGAAATTTGTTATATTTACCTGTTTTTACTAAGACAATCACCACATGCTTTTATATAACCAAACTTTTCATTGCTGCGGCACTCTTCAGCAGTAATGCTCTTCTCAATAAACTGAAAGTCAAATAAAATAACATTTGTTGAAAAGATTGCACCCATCCCCCGGCCCATTTCCATTTTTATCTTCTTTTTTTTTTCATGGGTGCAGAATGCAGCATATCGCCTAGTTACACTAGAAAAATCAAAAAATGTACTGCATTTCCACTTCGACAGCGTTGCGTGCAACATTACTGACAATCTCTTACTACTCTCAGGTATTGAAAATTATTTTTTTAAATCTTAGTTTTGTTGCAGTCAAGATTGCTACTTGTGGCATCTCTCTACAATGAACATAAATAGGTGTGTGTTCGAGACTTTTAAAAGAAGCTGGATGGCTGGATTTCACTGGTCAAAAACAGAAAACAATTGTACTTACATCTTTCTGACATTTGGCATTCAGTATCAGGAACTCGTAATTACAACAAGGGCTCAGTTTGCCCTTCACAGGAGAACTATAGTTATAGCTTTTTCCTTTGACTTGAATACCGTTCAAGGTATTTTTGCTCTGGATGGTATTAACGTTGTCTGTGACATCAATAGTGTCTACTTTCACAGTTGATAGGTAGTCTTGCGCTATCTATAAAAAGTGGTTGGAAATGGTTGTTACGAATCCCAAATGTGTAAGCCTTTTTCTTTTTTTTCTTTCTTTTTAATCAGTCAGAAGTACATTTTTATCACATATAGTTCAGTTTAAAGATCGCTTTTCGCAGTGGCATATTGCAAAATTTCTACTGAACAAATCATACGAAATATGAAATATGTAATAAATGTTAAACGTGATGAATTGTCGTGGAACCGAAAAGGCGTTAGTAAACAAGTTTACCTTTTTATAGGCCCGTGTGTCTTTCCCAAAACCTCATGCATAAAAGTATACCAACACCCATTTAGGATTTGCGCTGCGAGTTCATCAGTAAATGAGCATGACAAATCCCCCCAAAATATGCTTTGGAAAAAAGAAAAGGCCTACTGTAATAGAGGTCTACAAAGCGTAAATGAGGAGATTTCAGAAGTTGGACTCGTGCAGTTCAGTGAAAGTTTTCGATGCAGTAAAATATAAAACATCAACTACTAAGACATCTTATCGATGGTCTCTTGATCTTATTAATAATATTTAGATCTTATTAACCGAGCGGGAGGTCTGTACGGGATAATCTTGACCGAGGTCGGAATGTACAGATCGAGCGCAGCGAGGTCTGTACCCGACCGAGGTTAAGATTATCCCGTACAGACCGACCAAGCTCGGTTGATAAGAGTTTTATTATATGACCACTTTTCATTGAAAAGAACAAAATGTTTTCGCCGTAAGATTAATATGCGATCGGACCGGTTAATACCGGAGAATCTAGACCAGTCCGCGATGCGATCTATCCAATCAAATTGCTCGATTTGCTAGTGTCCAGGCTTTAAGATTCACGGTCATATAATAAATTATGATATTTACCGAAAGATATGAGGCTTTTGCTGAGGCGTTAACGTCACGGAAGTACCCAAAGAAAGCCTTAGAATTGACACCACCAACGCTGAGGTTCGAGAGTTTGAGAAGGCGAGGGGGATCGTTTCCCCTGCTTGAATCTAAATTGGTAACAGTAAGCATCCCAATGACTAACAGGACACAGGGAAATATCAGTTGAGTTAGAACAGCTTTCTTGTCTCTTTTGGAGTTCAGGAATCTCTTGGTAAGCATCGCCTTGTACTGTTGCCATTTGTGTGCGAAGCCTGTTTGAAGTTCTACAACATGTAATAGACCAAGTTATACTGAGCATTTTTTTTTTTTCCATTTTGAAACAGTCCAGGTTTTATTCTAATGAGAATCTTGCATTCAATAATAAATCATGCATTGATTATGAAAAACGTCCCAGAAGAAACATTCATAAGCAAAGAATAAGAATTGCTGAATCATCCATGGGCTTTCAAGACTTCCTGCTTCTTAGTTCGATCCCTATTACTTTCCTTCCTTGTTGCATTTTCCTCTCCCCACCTCATATCTCCCTCTATCCCTCCTTTACAGCACAAGCTACAGCATTTAACCACATCATGTTGACCTTTGCAAAAGAAGAATGAATTGTACTTACCACCAATTTCAGGGGCTTGGTCGTTTGGAATGTTAACGATGTTCTCAGTATGCCTGTGATGCTCGTGGTCGCTAATGCTAAAAGAAAGATATATGCAATGTCATGTTTAGATCACTTTATTTAGGAGAAGGGACTCTTAGATATTAGAGAACCAATGATCCAAGACCGACCGTGTCAAAGAAGCATCGTGTGACAGTTTCCTATTCATTAGTGTCCTTCTTTCGTATCTTATAAAACCAGGAAGTTACTAAACGAACATATGTTTTGCTATTAATTACAATTTCAGGGCCTCAGGTGTCTGATTGGCCCATTTCCCCCTTGGATATGAGAAAACCTACTTATATCGTTTTATGGAAAGAGATAAAAGGAAGGAATGATTTGTTGATCAAGGTCTTCTGGGAAACTACGACCCCTATGACAAACCCATACCCTGCATATCCAATCCCTACCATTACTTACATATCGTCAACTGTCTTTTCAGCTCCTTCTCCTACTTTCATGAAAACTTCCTCCATCGTGGTGACAGATACCCCAAAACTAGCTATTCCATACTCTTGCTTCTTGGCTGTGAAAAGACATACAAATATATGCAGTCAGTGACTCTAACAGCAAGCAAATACTAAGCTACAAGTAGAGTAACTACAACTAGTTTTCATTCCTTACTTTCTAAATCAAGGAAGAGACTTTCGAAAGACTTTGCTGCTTCTTTGTTGAGAACCATTTCCAGCTCAGCACCAACATTACTTAGGATCTCAGCCGAGGGAACAAAGCGCTTGACTGCGTTGATGGTCATGTTTTCGTTGAACTCCCTGTCTTTGACCAAAGTCAGATGATAACCAACACCATACCTAAAACAAATCATGCCACCTCAATAAATAAAATGAATACCATTATGGCACCATCACCAATTTTCAGTTCCTTCTCTTCATCATGGAGCTCTATACTCATTTTCATCTTCCTCGTCTTATCATTGAATACCTTTTTCAAATAAAATATTTTAAAGACAGGTTCCACTTTTCCTAGGAATGCCTTTCTTTTATATGTCACAATTTAATCATCCGTAGCTATGGAGATAAATCCATGATATTAATATTGTTATCATCATGAAGCGAACTGTCACAATACTGTACCTGCTCTTAAGGAAAAGGGAAGATCCACAACATCTTAACTGTCCATCAGCCATGATTGCAATTCGATCTCCCAAGAAATCGGCTTCGTCCCTAAAACATCATCATTATCGTCATTAATAAATAACTTTATCATTCAAGTTCAAACCAATGATTGCAAGCAATATCATTAAATTGAAAAAGACGAAACATAGGAATAAAAGTGATGTGCTGCCACCAAGCAACAGATGAGTACCCAATCCCACTCGTTTCTACCAAGGGCTAGCGCTTTAACCAATAATGTCATTCACTTACATAAAATGAGTCGTCAAGATTATAGTCTTTCCAGGTTTGTACTTTAAAAGAAGGTCCCAGGTGGCTCTTCTAGCATAAGGGTCCATTCCTGACGTGGGCTCATCCAGGATTACCGTTTCAGACCCTCCTACCAGAGCAATGGCGCAACTGAAACATAAATCAAGCCGGCTCAAATTACTCTAGTTAAACACTGTGGGTCCTTAGACAGGAAACACTTTCAATCAATTACTGCAGTGTTAGATTATATAGTTCCTTCAGCATCGGTCTAAAAGGAGCGAGCTAAATCGTGTTATAGAATGTAATGTAGTGGTAGTGCGTGTGAGCGAAAAGTGTCCCCAATTAGTGCGAAAGCGCTAGAACGACTAGACACTTAAATAAAGTGATTTATTTTATAGAACCATTTTGGGTGCAATCTTGGCCAAGTACTATGGATGGCTGGCGCAGCCTGTCTCTCTTCACTCCTCTTGCCTGAATAAGGAGATTGCTTTTTTTTCTGTTGCCAAAATATCATCACAGTATACTAGTTTTGTCTTTGATTTATTTATTTTCACTCTGACATATATACTATCTAATGCTACTGACTAACTACATGAAGCCGGCAAGGTCTCGGCCACATGAAAAGTAATTATACGAGCAATTTATTTGGTACCTTAGTTTTCGTTTCATTCCACCTGATAGCGTAGCAGACTTTTCATTCATCTTATCAAGGAGCTGCATGTCAGTGATCATGGCAAGGACCTCATCTTTGGCTGCCTGTCCATACTTGCCCTAAAGGGATCAAACACATACAAGTTAGACCTACACAATACAGTACAATACCCAATACAGTTTGTTCTAAGGTTCACAAATCCTATCACGAAGCCCATTCGGCTTCATTAAGTGGGGAGTTCAGCAAATGCAATTCATGTTTGGTAGGGGCTCCGGCGCGAAAGCTTTCATTCGCTGATTGTCACTTGTTCGTTTTCTGATAGCACTTAAAGACCCACCTTTAAATTAATAAAGAACTCCAAATGTTCTTTGACAGTCAGCCGGTCAAACAACACGTTATGTTGAGGACAAAGTCCAAGACTTTCTCTTATTCCATCAATGTCTGTAAGGATACTTTTGTTACCAATATGAGCGGAACCCGACGTTGGTGGGAAAAGACCTGTTAGGATAGACATGGTGGTGGTCTTGCCTGCACCATTGTGTCCAAGAAGTGCTGTTATTTGGCCTTTGTACATGTTGAGTGATAATCCATCTACTGCTACTTTGTTTCCGGCGGAGCTCTAGATAAAAAGTTAAGGTCAAACAATTATTAATTTTTGAATGAGATTGAGCCGATCAATTATTTATCGCACATGCTTTCGCTCAATTGTGTGCTAGTGGATTTTTGGATGTCTTCTTTTTTTTTAAATTGTATTCTTCGTTTCTTTCTCCATAAGATTTAAACCGCTTTTTTCCATGATTCAATGAACATTGGTTCAAGGTCTACCGTAGTTTTTAGTCCAACAGCTTATTGTGCACGCAGTAGTCTTTGCAGCCGAGTCCGATAAAAAGTGTAATACCAAAATCAAGTAGTTAATTTCTTCATTATCACATTTGCACATCAACTGGTCTAAGAAGTGAGCTTATTTGCTCCCTTTCTCTATCTTATGGGGAAGATACTTAGATGGTTAATTTTTGTACTCTTAATCTGCCAAATCCACGTACAATGCATCCACGTACAACTAATCATGTGTTCTACTGTACCTTGAATACTTTACTTAAGTTTTTGATTCCAACACCAATTTGAAGGTCAGTAGGTTCGTCTTCCACAGCGTGGTGATCCTGATCTTTATTTTCAACGGGGTCACGCTCCTAGAAAGAGTTTGCGAGCCGTTAAAACTTGAAAGACTATTTCTCAAGCTTGTTTGTGTATTCATACTTGACGGAACAAAAAATCCAAAAAATAAGATTAACTCCGTAAGATAGTGCGCTCTTAACTACGGGAAAAAAATAGATTTTGATTTTGAGTCACAAGTTTGTAAATGAGTACCCTGGGTTCCAGAGGCTCCCTCGCTACAGTGCTTCTCGGTCGTAGGTTTCGTTATTATGCTTCAGCGAGAGTGAATGGGTGCACATCCTTGACAAAAAGTTATAGTGCCATGCAATTGCCCTATTGCGAACGGCATGCATGGTAAACAAGGGTTGAACACATTGTTTCAAATTTTACTTTAACCACTGAACCACGAAAGCCTCGACTACTGACCTTATCCATAGCATTTGCCTTCATGATGTCATGCGCATACCCACACCAGTAGGACTTTTGCAAAGGAAAGTAAAATGGCTTTGGGATTCCGTACTTCCCAGGATATACGCCTTCGATGTACCTAGGAACGATAGAGATTTGAAACAGAGGGCTGGTACCTTGGAAACATAAGCATCCCGGCCCAACCCAGAGACAGAAAAAAATCAAAAACAGTGTATTTTCTTCTGGATACAAAAACTGACTTTTATAAACCTTTATGGGTCACTCACTTTTTTGTATCCAAAATTATGAAAAAAGATATAGACTTACCAAGTAAGTGTCGTAAATATGATAATTGATATCGTCATCATCAACATGACCCACGCCAATGTTAAATCATCATCCGGAGATGTTGGCACATTTAGGGTTTTAAACGACATCCCAACCCTCAAACTTTCTAGCCTAAGAAAAATCGTTATTCCAATTCCAAAAGCACTGTTTGGAAGGAGACACATGGCAGATTTGGCGCCTCTGAGTAACACAACGAAAATTGTTGTTAATTGTAAATAGGGAAGTTTTTTTGTACGGTATGTTTTTGTGCATGGTATCATTATGATAAATATATTGATTAGGGAGCGGCCATAAATTTCAACACCCACAACAAAAAAATGCACAAGGAGTTGTCAAGTTTGCTTTTGTAGTGCTATAATTGACCCCGACTCTATATTTTGTACACGAGTCCATGTTTTCTTAGTCATCTCGCGCGCAGATTGGCTATTTTTTATGAACGATAAGAGGATAGACTAATAAGCTGACGTCAACGAGGGCGAGCGTGAATGTTTTTGTGGTAAAGAGCAATTCGAGGTAACTTTTCTATGCATGGTCTGTACTTTGCAGTGAAACCACTTGAGTTTGCATGATATGCTGACGCCATTCCAGGTTCGATAAGAGTACAGACCATAGAAAAGGAACCTCGATTTGCTCAGATGGAGGAGGTAATATAGGAGCCCGTGAGGAGACCAACAATAGTGGAGAAGGATATGGCCCTTAACTAAATTTCTGGCTAATATTTGTTGATTTTTAATTAAGCCAAATACCACTGATGTGTGCAGTACGAGCTAAAAGGGAACGGGTCGGACCTATGATGGATCAACAAATTTGCCAACAAATTTGTGCTGGACTTTACAACTAACAACAGCAACACAACAACGACAACACCAACAGGATTTATTATCAAAAACAAACCATAAAACCTACTTGCTTAACAGATCAAATTTCTCTTTTCGTTGTTCCCCAAAACTGTCACTTTGTGCAAATATCTGATAAGGTAGTAGAGCCACGTACCACAGTACCAAGCCGATTAGCATACTCAGCGTTGGGTTGGTGAAAAATACACTGAAATTTAAGAATTCATAGCTTTCTCTCTGTTTCTCTTGGACAAAGCGCATGCGCAATTTCTTGATAAAGAAGTAAGAAATGTATGAGGTTTCTCAATCGTATTCTTATCCAAACATCTTATATATTCAGCATCTTATTCAGCATCAGCCGAAGGAGTGTAAGAGGCTCTGGGATTTCTCTAACAATGCATGGCGCTGCCTTGCAACTCTAGGTTTGCCTATTTAGAGCGCCAAGCTATGTTTTTTCTTTTCTTTTTATACTTTACCTTATGAAAAAGCAATAAGAGATGGAGGAAGCAACATACAGAAGGAGAAAAAGAAATAATACAAAGCCATCGGAGTACTCAAATATATTAAAAACCTGGAGGAAAACAAACATTTCTTGGTGAATATAAAGTTAACGTATTATATGGGTATATGGAGTAAAAAGGTAATGGCCGACATCTAACCCCGGGGGGGGGGGGTGTACTCTTGCCCGTTAAGGGTAGGGATGTGCCGCTGAGCCCTCTGAACCCTGATCCTGTTCCAGAGTAGAATCGCTGAAAACCATACCCTGTTTGGCGGCACGTACATCTAACGTTGAGAACTCCAATTGAAAGCGTGTTTAAAGAAAGTCGACTGTGTCAGTGTCCTTTACCCCTCTCCTCATCAGCGCTCTGTTTGTAAGGGAATTCAAAAGATAATGCTACACGGATTACATAGAATTAGAAGTGGGCAAATTCACCGGGAATCGGACTATATGGTCAACCTCAAAATGCTAAGCCCTCACTCTAGCCATGCAAATTAGCTAGCTTCACTTGTTCCTATATTAGATGATGCTTCTGTACTTGCTCATGTGTATCTACTCACCTTGATGACAATAGTAGCAAGAATCACACTTATTGACCAGAACAGAAGACATTTGATGTACCAAGCCAACCAATGCACCCAGTTTTCCAGTCCCATCATTTTCATGGACTCCTTCAAACGCTGTTGTTTCTCAAAAACGATTTCCTGAGATTAAAAAAAATACGTTTTATGTTTCCAACTTTGAAAACATGGAGGGCACAAAGCAAGCATGCATTTCGTAACAAACGAAAATGATGGATAGAAAACCTCAATCCTACTAACAACCCAATACAATGGGATTCATGCAAGACTTTTCGTCGCCACCAACGTACCAAGGGCATTGATCTAAGGCCTTCCTCCCCTCCAACCAAAAGGATCCATCCAAGACCTTCCTCTCCAACAACCAAATGCATTGATCCAAGACCTCCCTCGCCACCACTGATCCAAAATCTTCCTCCCCACCACTGATTCAATGTCTTCCTCCCCAATACTGATCCAATGTCTTCCTCCCCACCACTGATCCAAGGTCTTCCTCCCCACCACTGTTCCGAGGCCTTCCTCCCCACCCCTGATCCAATGTTTTCCTTCCAACCACTGATCCAATGTCTTCCTCCCCACCACTGATCCGAGGCCTTCCTTGCCACCAACCAAAAGAATTAAACCAGCTCCTACCTTGATTATCGAAACAGCGGAATAGATAAACGCCAATGTAACTAGCAATGGAGCGAACACGGACATAATGGACACAAAGACATCAGACAAATATCCGGGAATAGGGAATTCCTTAAACAAGAGCAGATAATACCAATGAATATATATATAAATCTATGGATGCTTGAGTCTATACAATATATATATATAAGCAATTGACCTCCTCGGCTTGGGTGTCATGTTGTCCCATTTCAGACCACGTGTCATTCCCTTGAGAATTAGTTTCTTTGTTGGAGTTGTATCCATATTCATGTGTCTTCTCATGTGCAACCGAGCGCAACCGTTAAACRAAGAAAGGATACTCTAGGGAATGACATGTGGTCTGAAATGGGACAACATTACGCCCGAGCCGAGGAGGTCTATTCCTCTACGGGGTAAAAACAATATATTTAAGATCAAAATCATATGTCAGGAAATCGGAAAAGCCCTTTGTGCCCGTATATATAGAGTTGTATCCATATCTTATACTGGTGGAGTACCTGTGGATTGGCGCAAACTTTCGCGCCAAAACTGACGCGCGCCCTCGTCCCCCCCCCCCCCCCCCCCCCCCCCCCCCCCCCCCCCCCCAAACAACTCCTACAGTCTTGCCAAGCAACTAATGCATGACTTGATTAACTTGAATAATTCAAGAACCACTCTAGCTATTGTTAGTACCTGTGCTGTTATGGGAATAGGCCTTGGGGTATTCGATTGTGCCTGGATGATGGTCATGTCAGTGGCATATTGAAGTGGTACGAATTTGTGAGCATAAACACTGCAAGGTACAAAGAAACATTGCATATTTAAATAGTAATGTATATCAGAGGAAGAGAACGTGTAGCGTTGCAATTAATAACTTGATTACTTATTTTAGGGGCACTTGGATGAAAATCAATGAAAATTGGAAATGACTTATATGGCCCAGATAGTAGCCAAGCAACATGTTTCCTTCACAATCAAAAGTGGCGGGAAAAAATTATCAATTTTAATCAGCATCTAAATTGTGAGTAAATGACGTCATTTACTCAACTCTATTGTTCTTTTCGCTTTTAACCCAAAATATCTCAACATCGAGTGGCTACCAGGCTAAAATTTTCACTAATCAGATTTCCATAATTATGATTGAGTTATATTATCCTCAAATACTTCAATTATTCGGACTTTCAAAAATCGGGGCATTCCCAAATGTACTGGGCATTGGAAGGTTGGATGGTAAGAACATTACTAACTCGGTACTCAATAAATAATGAAAAAAAATAATTGATCTTGGCCTTAAGCAGCCATTACAGTCTTTCTTTATAGCTTGCGTCTAGTGGACTTCAATCAATGCGTATTTTCCATGACATTACGTAGACGTGTCCTTGAAAACTTTGTTTTCTGGCGTCATGGCAACTATTTGGTTGACGTCCAAAACCCTATTTTGTCGCAAGAAAAAATTGTTGGACTCAACGACTGTGGTAGCTATATAGCAGGCCGTGATATTTCTTACTAGGATAAATAATATGTATTTCCGTCGCTAGAATAGGTTCTTTCTGTTCTCCAGTTAAGTTCACTAGGCGTAGGCAAGCGAATGGAATACTTGACTTTCTTGGGTAGAGGTTGCCCTTCTTTCAAATTAAACACCACAACTGCAAAAAAATGTAATCATTCAATCTAGCTGAAATATAGAATTCCCACCAAGGCCGCTCGAAATAAAGTAGAGTTACGCAATAATTATAAAGTAGAGTTA